AGAGGTTGCAGTGAGACGAGATTGTGCCATTGCACTACAACATGAGCAACAGAGCAAAACTCCGTCTAAAAAAAACAATAAAACGGCTGGGCGTAGTGGCTCACGCCTGTAATCCCAGCACTTTGGGAGGCTGAGGCAGGCGGATCACGAGGTCAGGAGATCAAGACCATTCCGGTGCTAACACGGTGAAACCCCGTCTCTACTAAAAATACAAAAAATTTGCCAGGCATGGTGGCACGCACCTATAATCCCAGCTTTTCAGGAGGCTGAGGCAGGAGAGTCACCTGAAGCCAGGAGGCAGAGGTTGCAGTGAGCCGAGATCACGCCACTGCACTCCAGCCTGGGCAACAGAGCAAGACTCCGTCTCCAAATAATAATAATAATAATAAAATAAAAAATAAAAATCACCCAAAAATAGTCTATTCTAAATAAACACCAGTTCTTCACACTATATCTGAGGGATAAGGTGTGATGAAAAGAGTCCATGAAGAAATAATAACATGACTTCAGTCGTTCAGATGATTGCAAAAAAATACACATCCAAAAATCCTCTTTCTGAAACTCTTAGAAGAGTTTCAGATTTCAGAATTCAGAGATTTTAGAAAGGTAATGCAGTGTATATACACAACATGTTCAATATACAGATGGCATTTTGTAATCAAATGAATCAACATTTCTGCAACAAAATATGAGTATTCACTAGCACTAAATGGAATAACAATTATAAATATAGCTGGGCATGGTGGCGTTCCCCTGTAATCTCAGCTACTCAGGAAGCTGAGGCAGGAGAATCGCTTGAACCCAGGAGGCGGAGGTAGCAGTGAGCCAATATCGCACCATTGCACTCCAGCCTGGGCAACAAGAGTGAAACTTCATCTCAAAAAAGAAAAATGAAAAAAAAAAAAAATTGTGAATAGCTTCATGTTACTTCAGCACAGGTTTTGCTACCAAATAAAGTATAGAAGACATTCAGTTTTTGTTCATTTGGGTTCTGAAATTATAGAAAAGGGATGGTGGACTTGTTCTAGAAAACCTAATCAACTCTACATTCAAGTGCATGAGGATTCCATTTAAAAACAAACACAGCCGGGTGCAGTGGCTCATGCCTGTAATCCCAGGACTTTGGGAGGCTGAGGCGGGCAGATCACAAGGTCAGGAGTTTGAGACCAGCCTGACTAACATGGTGAAACCCCCTCTCTACCAAAAATACAAAAATTAGCCAGAAGTGGTGGTACAGGCCTGTAATCCCAGCTACTCAGGAGGCTGAGGCAGGAGAATTGCTTGAACCTGGGAGGCGGAGGTTGCAGTGAGCTGAGAATGCACCACTGCACTACAGCCTGGGTGATAGAATAAGACTCCACCTCAAAAAATAGACAAAGACAAAATGTTTTGTGACCACCATAGTTTTAAATCCCAGTATTACTGCTTTTATTTAATAAGATGCAAATACTTAGAGCTGGTTGAGAAAATGTCGTAAGATTATACAAATATTGTCGTCATATTATTTGTTCCCACCCCCAGAACCCAATCAACTGATTTTAAACTGTCACATTAATAATAATAGCAAAAGCATACCTGCATCAGATTAAATCGTGCTACCTCATTAATAGGAGCATCAGAAATTATTCCATACTGTTCTGGATTGACAACTGCAGGACAAATGAAGCAGGCCAACAGGAGATCAGTACACATTGCCCTGACCTCCCCCACTTCCAGCCTATCTACACAGGAGAGGGTTTTGTACATCTGAGACACGATCCACCTTAAACTATGTGGAAAACAGTATGTGTTCTGTTTGAGATAACCAATAAATTTGTTCACCAAAGCCACTAGTTTGGCTTCATTGGACTCCACCATTTCTTGAACTTTTTGCCTGAATCTGTCTGAGCCCTTCTCTCCAAAGAGTTTTTCCTGCTGAGATGGGGAGAACCTCTCAATTAGCTTGTTCGGATCTGTTTCCAGGTGATCTTCATCTTCAACAAGGAGTTGCATAATTGGCTCATGTAGAGTGGCTGTGAGGAAAAGTTTGGCAGAAAACAGTCCTTCAGAAAAAAGTTTAAATAAGATGCTGAAGGCACAAGTTCCTCTCCTCAAAAGTCGCCTAGGGTTGTCACTTTCTTTAAGTTCAAATTCAATCAAGTATCGCAAAACCTGAAGGAGGTAGCTTTCATCTTCTTGCATGATGCAATTGCCATATAGGGACGTAAAAACTGTGTAAATAACACTTTGTGTGTTCTCCTGATTAAGTTTCTCTCCAGCAACCAAAGAGGAGGCAATAAGACGAGGATTTTCCCTCAATCGACTCAAGAATTCTCCATAAGCAGTCTCCTGAAATCCCAATTGCTTATATCCATCAACAAATTGTGTATCTTCCAAAATTTTGGCATGTTGGCAACATTCAGCAGGGGAAGCTTCAGCACTAAAAAAAAATGAGCAAACAAGCAAAATAATAGTATTAATAATAACACATATGCTATATCCAAACATGGATATATGAGTTGATTATAGTCCCAACAATAAGATCACTCTGAATTGCTAAAATTTTTTAGACCAACAGCAACTCAATGAGTAAAGGAAGACAAAACTAAAAAGTACAAAGGACAATTTCCTCATATCAAAACAGAATCAATGAAAAGTATTGGGGCTGGGTGCAGTGGCTCACACCCGTAATGCCAGCACTTTGGGAGGCTGAGGCAGGCAAATCATTTGAGGCCAGGAGGTCGAGACCAGCCTGGTCAACATGGCAAAACTCCCATCTCTTCTAAAAATACAAAAATTAGCCAGGCATGGTGGCAGGCACCTATAATCCCAGCTACTTGGAAGGCTGAGGCAGGAGAATCGCTTGAACTCAGAAGGTAGAGGATGCAGTGAGCCAAGATCGTGCCACTACACTCCAGCCTGGCCAACAGAGCAAGACTCTGTCTGGAAAAAAAAAAGAAAGAAAGAAAATTATCAGTTTGTAGATCCTAAAAACTGTCCAGCCCTCTTATGAACTAAATTAAAATTAGCTGCAGGACGGGCACAGTGGCTCACACCTGTAATCCCAGCACTTTGGGAGGCCAAGGTGGGAGAATCACTTGAGCCCAGGAGTTCGAGACCAGCCTGGAAAACATGGTGAAACTCCATCTCTACAAAAAAAAAAAAAATGAAAATTAGCTAGATGTGGTGGCGTGTGCCTGTAGTCCCAGCACTCAGGAAGCTGAGGTGGGAGAATCGCTTGAGCTCAGGGGCTTGTGACAGCAGTGACCCAAGATCACACCACTGCATTCCAGCCTGGGCGACAGAGCCAGATCCTGTCTGAAAAAAAAAATATCAGCTACAGTTAAACTGCTTATGTTTATTTATGGACACAAGAAAGTTTACAAATATTCAAGTACTAAAAAATAATAAAAATGAAGTCCATATCAGCATATTGCTCAACCGTCCTCAACAGCAAAATGCCAGTATGTAATGACCTGCAGAATCACATCCTTTAACCAGGCTTTTTGCTTCTGGAAACAAATCCAAATAAAATAAGCCTAAAAGATGTGGGGGAAAAAACACAATGCCCACAATAGCACTGTTCTTTTTTTTTTTAACTCATTTTTATTGAGGTAAAATACAGTAAAGTGCACAAGTGTCAAGCGTTCAGCTCGAACAATTTTTACACATCTATGCACCCAGTAATCACCACTCAGATTAAGACATGGAACATTTTAAACACCCAAGAACGCTTTCACATGCCCTTTCCCAGTCAATACCACCCTCTCAAGTCCAACAAGTAACCATTATTCTGATTTCTGCCATCAAAGATCAGTCCTGCCTTTTTGAACTTCATACAAATGGAATCATACAGTACATATTCTTTTGCGTCTGGCTTATATTTTCAACAGCACTGATATTTTTAGAGTTAAAAACTGTTCTTGGCCAAGCGGGGTGGCTCATACCTATAATCCCAGCACTTTGGGAGGTCAAGGGGGCAGATCACGAGGTCAGGAATTTGAGACCAGCCTGACCAACATGATGAAACCCCGTCTCTACTAAAAATACAAAAATTAGCCAGGCATGGTGGCACGCATCTGTAATCCCAGTTACACAGGAGGCTGAGGCAGGAGAATCTCTTGAACCCGGGAGGCAGAGGTTGCAGTGAGCTGAGATCGTGCCACTGCACTCCAGCCTGGGCAACAGAGCAAGACTCCGACTCAAAAAATAAAATAAAATAAATAAAATAAAAACTGTTCTTTGTAGATATTAAGACAATAAAATATGTGGTTTCTAAACCCAAAAAA